ACATTCTGGTATGATAAAGTGAACATTAAAATTAACAAGTCCAAGTTATGAATGAGCACCATTATTACCTTTCAAAATGTCATCAGTCACACTGGTCAAGGTGAAACTAGTAAGTACAGTTCCATCCAAAACTTTTACAGCCACATCATCATCAGCCTCTCATTAATCAAATGTTCACTTTGTCTGGTTTTGTTGCAGTCTGCCCCATTTTAAAAATTATATCACAATTCATGACGCTTTGAATAAAGTAAAACTTGAAATTAAGGTTGCAGATCGAACAGACATACCTACATTTCTTTGAATCCCGTTTAAGAAAGTTGATCAAATTAATTTGAATTCATGGTCTGTTAATAAATTTGCCTCTTTCATCTTGAGACACTTTTTTATGTGCAGTTTTCATAATGCATTAGAAACTAAACTAAAATTCTATTAGGGCAATGAACCACTGTAACTGGTGCAGTTTTTTATAGCATATTGCTGGGACACAGAGTCTCTAATCTCTTTTCTGCAACAACAAGATTTGAGGCTTTGGGAAAAAGCCTCAAATTAACCAATTGATACTTCAACAACTCTCTCAGATTGGCATTATTGAAGAATAAGAAGAAGATTTTCTGATGATGTCATAATTGAGGTGGTGTTAAAGAAAGCTCTTGATTGTCAGTGAGCATTGATGGTCAAGTGAGTGATAGTAAGGCACACATCAATGAGTTATGAGAATGATCTGTGATGAAGAAGAAATCTACTTTGAACAAAACATCACAAGAAATTTTATTCAAGATATGATGATGTATAAACCTTTCCGTATAATTCCACCAAGTCTATGTCATTCTCATTAACCATGAGAGCTGTATGATGGGAAACTATCATGTACAGTTGGTCCTGTTCTTGTAAAGGCAATTATTGACATACTAGTGAGTATGAATGATGCTGTCATATGTTTCTGACTTGATACATGGCTTTATGGTATGCTAAGATGCTTAGATATAGAAGATCTCTGAAACTAAAACTGGAATAATGATGGAACAGACTACAAATTGATTGAAGAGGATGATGAAATGGAACAATTCTTCAAAACATAACCAGCAAGAATTCAAACATTTGAAGTGAAGAAAGTATGCAGCAGGTTGCAGAAATTAAGAAATACATATAAATTTGTTTTATCAATGTAATTTATGAATATGATTATAGTAACAGATCAATACAATGAATCTGTAATTAGGATGATAATAGAAGTGATAAATCAGTGATCACTGAAATGCATAGGCTATTCACCAAAGTATTGATCACAATGTGGAATGCATCATAATCGGACAAAAAATGCTAAGAGGTGGAAGAATAGTTCAGTCATTTAGCATAGGTGATGTAGTTAGACTATGAATTACAGAACACAGCTTAAGGTGTTGGAGATTGTAAGAGATAGTCTATATAGACTTGGGTGTACTAATATGTTTGTTGGATGTATGCTATCAAGCAGCTGACCTTGAGCTAATACTAGCAGACTTTTATGAGTGGAAGACATACTAGATATAACTATCTCACTAACTAAAGTGCTGAGACATCTGGCACTAATTAATAATGAAAAATCAAGTGTATATGGTTTCCAGTCAAACTCTGACTATCAGGATGCCATTTAAGAAATATATGCTCTCATTTGGCTCAAAACAAGCATTTCAAAAAAAAATAAAATAAAAATAAAGGCATATTTTTATCTCAGTGGAACCTCAATTGCAAGTGATATTAATATGTCAATAGCAGAGATTGTCAGAACATTCAAGCACTCTTACTCTGGTGTTGCTACCCATGTTGGCAATACTGATAGTGGTCATCTACAATTTGCTGCTCTACTGCTTGTTACTGCACCTGTTTCATTAATATTAAGAACATTTGATGACTTTGAGGAATTTTTGATTCAAGGCATCCAACACATATGACCAAACACAAAAGCTGAATGGTCAAGTCAATGATGCCTCATATTCATGCATAATACTTGTGCCATTGATTATTAACAGATTGTTGCCACTATCAAGATTTATTTTGCTGACATCTTTCAGTACAGTAACTCCTTGAAATGTAGGGATTGCAATTTGTTGTAGTTGTTGATATTTCTAATGCAAATTTGGTGTGACAATTTATATGTAAATAATCTTGGTAAGGTAACATGTTCAGATTGACAAGGGAGTGTATGAAGCTGCTGCTGGTGGTAAAAAAGCTTCTCCATCATGAATAGTTAGATAGTAAAACCTTATGATGGATGGTGATAATTTTTTGTAAAAAGTGTTTATTATTATGTACGAGAATGAATAACATATGTAGTCAACATTGTCATCAAACAACACCCAATGTTCAAATCATTAGAAACGATTTATTAATTTCGTTTGTTTTCTGAAATAAAGGATGTTTTACTATTATTATTAATATGCAATAAAGTGTACCCTGACATTTTGATTTGGGTCAACCCGATTTCGAATTGGGTCAGATTGTCAACTAAATTTACTGTATATAGTCTAATACCATATTCGGAACCCGCATTTGAGAACATAACCAATAAAATACAGAAATTGTGATCAGCTGATCGACGAACCGTTTATGTTTGTAACTAGCTATGTCAACTCCATATGTTCAATTATCTGCGAGTTTAGAATTAGCAGTTGTTTTGACCTAAATCAAAACCATCAATATACTTATATTAGTATTAGCATTTATTATTATTATTATTATTGAGTTTATCGCTCCGAATTTTGTGTTACGCGGTTTTCCGTTAAAATAGTGTACACATTATTGATTAAGCGAAATTGGTTCAAATCGAACAGAGCTGTGCTTATGTCAGTGACAAAACGATGTGTACATTAAATAATTTTGTATGCATATTAACTGCTCAAGGCACGTTTATTAACATCGTCAGTAAGAGAGCATCCAATTTTCGCCATTAACAGAAAACTTTTACTCAGGGAGTTGACAAAGAATAAATCTATTAACTAAAACGCAGATCGAACGCTATCTGGAAATATTTTCTTCATCGATTTTGCGATGCCTTGGCTGATTTTGTATAAAAGGTGTATTACAGAATACTATACTTATACCACAATTAATATTACTTAATTGGACATTGTACTGCGCTGTTCAACAGGCCATCTAATCTTTTATTAAGATAAGAAAGCAGGGAGAGAGATCAAACATGATGGGAACTGGTTTACTTGCAAAAAACCCGCTTGATAGCATACTACAGTAGCTGTCGGATTGGAATGGACGAGTGAGAAATTGGTCTGATTTTCGTAAAATGCGAGCGGGTTGGTTTATATGCTCCAGCTTTTGACAAAGTATTTGAGAATGTACTTGTCTTTACAAACTTGCTTTCTCAGTACGTATTCATAAAGTAATGATATCGCAATAAGATTAGCTGTTATTTTGAACTTAATTAAATAACCCACAGTACTGAAATTGAAAATACTGCACGCTTGACGCTAAGAAAAGATTGGATACAATATTAGTAAATATTTTTTCTTAAATAATAAAGTTATACTTCTTTCTTATTGTGAGGTGAAAATTGCGGCCCCGGTATACTGTAAGTTATTCGAGAACACTTTTATTGAAATGAAGAAAACGAAGCAAACGGGGTTTGCCTTTTCATAAACAGCAAACCATTTAATTATGGAATTTTGATGGCGAGAATGTAGCCTTGCTTTATATTTGCAATTTACAGTCTGATCAACAGGAAACGCTTGTTATCAGGCAGGGAACGTCTGCCAGCAGTGCATAGGCCGCCGGCAGCGAATAATAGCAACGTTAGTTATGTACTGTAAATGCAAAACGATTTGTAGAAAAATCGTCTGTGGAACGTTGTGTCATTAACCGAAAGTCACGTTTTTTTCTTACTGGCGACTCGTTTGTTTTAACGTATATTCAATCTATTTGCCAAATGGCGTGTAACAATGCCGTTAAGATATTCCATAATTGGGCTAACATTACTTGTACACTACAAAACAAATCGAGCATAATTTTCATGTAGCAAATGCAGAATTTTTTGTAGTTTATAGGAAGGACGAGTCTAAGTGGACTCCGACAGAGAATTTCATTGGTGTGGTATATGTCAATGGCTTGATATTGAGGCATTTTAGTTATCGCCATAATCATTTTGGTCGTAACACGTGATTGTCCATAGCTGCTAATAATTATCCTTACTTTTTCAGGTTACTTTCTTTGTACATTTATTGAAACGCACTAACCACCAAATTTATATCACTATATCGCGATTCACGATAGCCCTCGAATGCTGATATCATCTGAAGTCGATGTTTATTATTATTGGTAAACATATAATATTTATTTACGTCTAGCTACATAATTTTTCCCTGTAAATTATATGTTATGATAATTGTCACTCGGAGAGAGAGTCTTTATTTCTCTCAAGTGTAAAACTAACTATCATGTTTACTATTCTCTACTTACACCGCTCATCAGAAAAAAGCTTATATTCTTTGACCCACTATTTGCCCATTGCTACATAAATCGTCTTTTTCTAGTTGCCCTAAATTATGTGATTTTAATCGATTCATGCCATACTTTTTCTTATTGTCCAAGGTTAGACAGCGGCAGTATTACAAGCGTAGAAACCTCATATAAAGTTATTGTATCAGACAAATGATGTCTGATCACAAATCCTACTATTATACTTTTATGTATTTGCACTCTGCATTGCAGCTACGTATACTTGAATATGATATAGATTAATAGGTAGATTTCTATCGCATTTATGGAATAGCAGTACTTGTAATCACTTAGTAATCACCTAATCGCCTGTAATCGCACTATGATCACCTGTAATCACCTGTAATCTCGTACTCTTTTTGCGAAGGAAACTGTAACTTGGCAGTCAGTCCCGTGGACAGGGTGTCCCAGCATTTTGAAATCCGCAATAATAAAAGAGATATTAAATGTTTTCTGTTATTGTTATTATTAAAGAAAGATAGCGCGAATAAACCTCGACTTGATTAACTTTTTTTCGTTGCTTGCCTATTGGCTGTATTTCTTGTATTGCGCTTTTTTGATTGAGTTTTGATTTCATTACTGTCGTTAGCGGCTTTCTCTATGTTTGTTGTTTTCTTCCGTCGGTTCGTCTGTATCATTATACATTAGTCAGAGTTGAACAGCATTTTTTTTTTTTTTTGCTAACTTTTGTTTTACGTGTCGCTGTGGGTGAAAGACTATCTTTCTCTGATGATGCTTTCACAAACGGCAATTCTGGTTTGCATAATCGATTTTGGCTTGGCGTATGTGCGTTAGCTTCTGGTTTTCAAATTTCCACGAAACAATCATACTAGTGTCGGTTTTGCTTTTTGTACTGATAAAGAAAATTTCCAACACTTTGCAATATATTGCAAAATAAAGTCTTGTTGCAAACATTGAATATTGCATTTTTGAAACGCCTACCGATATTATGTGTTAAAATTACGTCGAATGGACCGCAACTGCGTACTACTTAGATATGATTTAACCAGGAGCGTAAGAGTATAACCACTTTCAGTGATGTTTGTTGTGTTGCATTTCCAAATAAATAGATAAGAAGGTTGTAATGTTGTGTTGTGGTCGGTGTGGGAGAGCCAATAATCTGTCGCGTAGGTGTATTCACCGACAGGGGAATGTTACCAAATTTAACTCAGATTGTTACCCTTACTAATAGCGATTGTCTTTTCGACTGAACTGAATTTATAAGTGATTATTTTAAATGCGCGCTTTACTAACTTCCTAGACGAAGTAAAACCTATACTCGTCTCTAAGTAAGGGTACCTATAACAATATCGTTACAACTACAATATTGCTACAGAATCGAAGGGGAATATTTAATTTATAATTTAAAAAACAGGGTGGTCTTCAATTTAGTGTTTTGACTAGTCAGGGTATCTCGTCACTTTTAATTAAAATCATAATTAATTAAACGATAAAATGAGAGATCGATGTCGAATATTAATTGTCGCGGCCGATGCTTGCAATCGGCTGATTATTGCTTTAACGGATATATCGCTAGCCGAAGTATCTGCGAATGGTCTGTAAGCTAAGCTATCTCAGACACCAATCCGGATTCAATAATCAATATTCAACGTCGATAATAGAAAGATAATAAAATATAGGATAGTATATGATTAAGTATCAAAAGGAATTTATAACAAATTTTATTTCCTTGGATATGATCAAATCCTTGGATTTTTTAGAAAATATTATATGGAACCAAACAACATGAGGATTTGATGTTGAGGAAAGCTCTACTTATATAAGGCTTGCCACCAAAAGCTGCAACGAAAATTACTCTTGGTTTTGTACTGCCACCGAAAACTGCTACGGAAATTACTAAATTAGCTATCGTTTGTATCTTGTACTGCCACCATTTTCTGCAACGAAAATTGCTAAATTTGAAACTCTAGTGTGACAATACTAAAATTAACTCGCTGCGGGTAGTATTTCGACTGCGGAAGAAGATTTTATCACATGACTTGCTCCAAAACTTCCCAAGCCCTTTTCTCAGTTTTAATATTTAAATCTCTCGGTAAGTCGGTCCATCATGCATGACCGACTTATCGAGTTTGCCTGTGTATACGTTAACTAGAAAGATAAGCTGTTTTATACTATTAGCAATGATTCAAGGAGTATTGAATCATTGGTTTTTAAGAACTGGTTTAATTTATGAACGTTGTTTTCAATGTTTTTGGATGTCTGATTCAATATCTGGAGTGTAGACAGTATTTATTTGAATCCTGATTTCAATGCTTGGAACGTCTTTATAATATGCCCAAAGCTGTTTAAGAGCCTCCTCTTGACGTATCCGTCGTCCTTGTTGTCGCTGTTCATATACAGTGTGTTAAGAAAAAAATTAGCCTCGGCTTTTTTTACAATAACTTCATAGAAACTGCTTTAATTTTAACATGGAATGGCTTGTTTG